GAAATCGGACGTCATTTGACGGGGGTCGGACCTAAATATCTAAAATTTGAAGTTTATGAAGTTAGAATGAAAAATGATGATTTTGAGGGTTGATTCATTGATTTTGATGTTGTTTTGGCGATTTGATCGCTCGGTTAAGTTCGTATGAGGTTGTTGAGTTAGTGTGTGTGTTTGGTTAGGAGCCCCGAGGGCTCGAGAGTGATTCGGAGGTGGTTCGGGGTGTTTTTGGCCTTAGGAAGTGTTGCAGAATTTCTGCAGTCAGTGCCCAATCATTTTCTTCAATGCGATCGCATAGGTATGTCTGCGATCGCGTAGAGTTAATTTGGAGTCGCCCAGTTTTGTTCTATGCGATCGCGTACCTCTGCAAATTCATTCTATGCGATCGCGCCCTTCCATTTTGCGATCGCGGTGTACAAAAATATCAGCCCCCATTTTAGTCTTATATGCGATCGCATTCCATGGCTCGCGATCGCAGTGACCAGTAACCCTTCCTCTATGCGATCGCAATGCCCTTTCCGCGATCGCATAGAGCAATTTCGCCCAGTGATTTTTAAATACCCAAAACAGAACATTGACGGGATTTTTCACCCAAAACACACGAACTCATCTTCTCCACAGCCCATAGGCGATCTTTAGAGCTCTTCTTCACCAAAGCTTCTTGGGTAAGTATTATCTAACTCGTTTTCTTCATTTTCTATCATCATTTATCAAATTCCTAGACCTAAAACATGTAATTTAGGGTGTAAATTGGGGAAAAAGGGTAGAATTAGGGGTTTTCAATTTTCTTTGATTTAGACCTCGTTTTGGGGTCGAATTTGAAAACAAATTGTATATTCGGGCTCGTGGGGGAATGGGTGACATGGAATTGGTTCGAACCTCGGGTTTTGACCAAGCGGGCCCGGGGTCGATTTTTGGAATTTTGGGTAGAAAGCTTAGAAATTCATATTTAGGCATTGGATTTAGTTTGTTTAGCTATTATTAATATTGTAAAGTCATTATTTTATAGATTTGACCGAGTTGGAGCCGAATTTGAGGGGTAAAGCTATACTAGAGGCTCGAGTTGATTTTGAAGCATTTGAGGTAAGTGTTTGATCTAACTTTGGCTTGAGGGAATAGGATTAGAGTGTTATTATGTGCTAATTGCTAAATGAATCGAGTATGGTGTATAGACATGGTGACGAGTATCTATACACCGGTGTCTAGCATGACCGTGGATCCTTGTATGTACTTATCCTGATATTGTTATGACTCTTCCATCTTAATTGATGAATTCTATGCAATGCGAAGAGTATGAGGACTAATTATGAATTGTAAATTCTTTGGAGTGTTGGCTCGAACGATAAAAAGACTATTGAGTGAGAAATGAAAGAAATAGAAAGTGATATGATTAACCCCTTGCCGGGATGGTTTGAGTATATTGATTATCTACCTTGCTGGGATTTAGCTGTTAATTGTGTAATTCCCTTGTCGGGACATTTCTTATTATTTGACTATCCCCTCGCCCCGTTTGGTTGTGATTACTGTTTGGGTGAGCAAGAGTGATAATGCACGAAGGGTCATTCCGTGCCATGTTTTGATTATATTTGCACGTAGGGTCATTCCGTGCCATGTTTTGATTATATTTGCACGTAGGGTCATTCCGTGCCATGTTTTGATTATATTTGCACGAAGGGTCATTCCGTGCCATGTTTTGATTATATTTGCACGAAGGGTCATTCTGTGCCATGTTTTGATTATTTATGCACGAAGGGACATTCCGTGCTCTGATTTGCATTATAATTGCACGAAGGATCATTCCGTGCCATGATATGAGAGTATGTGAGGCTAAGCACGAAGGGTGATGCCGTGCACTTCACTTGATTACTTTTGGTGAGGATGAGAGTAAAAGCACGAAGGTTGATTCCTTGCAATTATTGACTTTCCTGCTCTCATTAATTATTGTTATTGCTCTGTTGCTTACTTAAATTGTTGCCTTTATATCCGGACTGTATTTTCCCCATAGTATGCTCCCCTCCCTCTTAATTGTTTAATTTCTTTTTTCTTTCCTTTTATTGCATATATATATATATATATATATTGAACTGTACAGGTTGGTTTGGTAGTCCTGTATAGCCTCGTCACTACTTCGCCGGGGTTAGGCCAGGCACTTACCAGCACATGGGGCCGGTTTTGCTGATGCTACACTTCTGTGCTCTTTTGCACAGATCACGGTACCGGGCAGCTTTTGGGCCACAACAGTAGGATATTGATCGGGAGCTGACTTCAGTCCAGGGACTTACGAGGTAGCCTAGCTGGCGTTCGCAGGCCGGAGTCTCTTTCTATGTTTTCAGTTTGTTTTCATTGTACCGAGACAGACATTTATGTATTTCTATTCAGACTTGTTTGTAG